AAAGTAGTAGGTTTCCATAGGATTTTTCACCTCTTCTCTCCCCATTTCTGTGTGTGTGTGTGTGTGTGTGTGTGTGTGTGTGTGAGAGAGAGAGAGAGAGAGAGAGAGAGCGAGCGAGCGCGTGTGCTCTGGATTCTTTAGAGCTATAGTTACAGACAGTTGAACCACCCAATATGGTTGCTGGGAACCACACTCAGGTTCTCTAAATAAGTAGTAAGTACTCTTAACCACTGAGCTATCTCTCTAGCCCCTCCCACTTTCTTTTGGTCAGTGTAGCTAAAAGTTTGTCAATTTTCTTTTTGTATTTTATGTTACTTTTTATTAAGAACTTTTAAAAGATTTATTTATTTATTATGGATAGTGTTCTGTCTGCTTGTATGTCTGCGGGCCAGAAGAGGGCACCATATCTCATTATGGATGGTTGTGAGCCACCATGTTGTTGCTGGAAATTGAACTCAGGACCACAGCCAGTGCTCTTAACCACTGAATCATTTCTCCAGCCCTATTAAGAACTTTTAAACGCTGGGTGTTGGTGGTCCACACCTTTAATCCCAGCACTTGGGAGGCAGAGGCAGGCGGATCTCTGTGAGTTCGAGGCCAGCCTGATCTACAGAGTGAGTGCCAGGATAGGCTCCAAAGCTACACAGAAAAACACTGTCTTGAAAAACCAAAAAAAGAAAAAAGAAAAAAGAAAAAAAGAAAAAGAAAAAAAAGAACTTTTAAATTAAAATATAATTATATCACTCCTCTCTTTCCTTCCCCCCTCCTCCCATGTGCCCCGACTCCCTCTCAAATCAATGGCCTCTTTTTCTTTGGTTAATATTGTTACGTACATATATGCACATAAATGTATAGATACACCTGTTGAATCCATTTAGTGTGGCTTGGGTATATATGACCAGTTGGTATTGTATAATCAGCTAGGGGTTCATGCCTGGGAGAGGCTAATCCTCCCTCTCTCAGTAGTCTTTAGTTGCCTATGGTTCTTTGTCCAGGGGTGGAACCCATGAGATTTCTTCCTTCTGAGTTTGCACATTTATTAATATTGTCTTGTTCAGGTCTTATTTAGTCAGCCTTACTGTTGAGGTATCATGGATGTTGCTTCCCTACATGACATTTATAGGAGACACCATCTCATTTTGGTTCTTACAATCTCTCCACCCCTCATTGGAACCGCCCCCTAAGCCTTAGGTCTAGGAGTTGTGTTGTTGTAGATGTATCTGTTAGGTTGGGCTCCCCATGATACACTGGTCTCTGCACTATATCCAGTTGTTTTCTGTAATGATTTCCATTTGCTATTGCTGTGGCCTTTGGTTACTTCTCAGAAGTCAACACCATGTACTTTGGACTGAAGACCTGGAAGACTGAGCTGAATCTAGCCTGAATCCTCCTTCCTGTGGTCCAGATTTTATAATTCCAGGAAGTACTATGTAAATTGCCAATCAATTTGGAGACACAATCAATGACCCCATCCCTCTGTGATGCCTATGAACCTCAACAATGATCAGTGTGGACAGCTATCCCTAAAGGTGCAACAGTGGCACTCATATCTCATTAGTAGCCAACAGCTGTCCAATTGGACTTAAGATCAACTCAGTAGGAGGAAAATCATTCCTGGTATTGGAAACCTAACCAACTACCCAGGATTAGTGAGGCTATGGATCTCAGGAGAGAACCTACTACCGCCATTTTACTAGACCATCGTAATCCCTAGCTGCATTCCAAACTTATCCTTATACCCACAAGTAAACATAGCTATCACTCTTCATCCAAGTATCTTCTTTTTGCAGCAAATGAAAACCATTACAGAAACCCACAACTTGTCAATTTTCTTTCCTTTTCAAAGAATCAACTCTTCATTTATTTCTTCTCTGATCTTTTTTTCTGTCTATTGATTTTGAGTTTGGCTTTATTTTGATTTTCTAGGATCTTGAGATGCATCATTAAGTTATTTATTGTGATCTAATCCTTTTGGGGGCAGGGAGTTTCGAGCAGGGTTTCTCTGTGTAGCCCGGGCTGTCCTGGAACTCACTCTGTACACTAGGCTGATCTCAAACTCACAGAAATCCGCCTAATTTTTTAACAAAGGCATTTGCAGCTATAAACTTCTTAGAACTGCTTTCATTGAATTCCACAGGTTCTAGTATGTTTTTGACATCACTCATTTCTAAGAATTTTTAAATTTTATTCCTGGATTCTTCAGGGGGCCATTCATCGCTCAATAGTGTATTGTTCGATCTCCATGAGTTTGTTTATTTTCTGTAGTTTCTTTTGATATTGGTTTCTAGTTTTAATACCTAACCCAATATCTGATCAGATACAAGAAATAAAAATATCTTCATATTTTTGTAGTTGCTAATACTTGCTCTGTGTCCCAAAAACATGGTCTTGTTTTCATGGGCTGTTAAGAAGAATATGGATTCTGTAGCCTTTGGGTAGAATATTTTATAGATGTGTTAAGTCCATTTGATCTATAATGTCATACAACTCTGATGTATTTGTTTTTTATTTGCCTGCATTATCTGTCAGAATCAGTCTTTGCCGTTACAAACAGCAGTGCTTGTTTCGTGAAGTTGGATATGCCAGTATTCAGTATATAATCTTCAGAATTGCTCTTAATAGAGTGTTCCCATAATCAATATGAAATGATCTTTTCTCTCTCTCTCTTCTCTCTCTCTCTCTTTTTTTTTTTGAAACAGGGTCTCACTGAGTAGCCCTGGCTGGCCTGGAATTCACTTTATAGACCAGGTTAACATTGAATTTATAGGGATCCTCCTGCCTCTTTCTCCTGAATGCTGCTGGGATTATAGGCATATGCCACTAGCCTGGCTTAAGCGATCTGCTTTGTCTCCTCTGAATGTATGTGGGTTTTGTTTTGTTTTGTTTTTCTGCCAGTACCATACTGTTTTTATTACTATGGCTCTGTAGCATAATTTGACGTTTTGTTTGTTGTAATTTTGAGACAGGGTCTCACTGTATAGCCCTGGCTGGCCTATAACTCATGATATAGACCAGGCTGGCCTTGATCCCACAGAGATCTGCCTGCCTCTACCTCCTGAGTGCTGGCATCAAAGGCCTGCACCACCATGCCCAGAGCATAGTATAATTTGAGATCAGGGATTATGATACCTGCATTATTACTTTCTGTTCTAATTGCTTTGGCTATTCAGAGTCTTTACTTTTCCCATATGAATTTTAGTATAGTTTAATGTATTTCTGTGAAGAATGTCTATGGAATTTTTATTACATTTATGTATTGGGAGGAAAGTTGCTTGCCAAATCACATGTGTGGTAGTCAGAGTACAGTTTAAAGAGATCAGTTATCTTCTTCCTGGGGATTGAATTCAGGTCATCAGCATTAGCAGTAAGCACCTATATCCAGTGAGCCATCTTCCCAGCCCCATGTCACTAGAATTTTGATTTCAGCTACATATTCTCTTTCATATTAATACTGTGGTTCCATGAGCAAGGAACATCTTTTTACGTTCTAGTATCTTCTTCAGTTTTTAAATTTAGTGGGGTTTTTTGTTTTGTTTTGTTTTTGTTTTTCAAGACAGGGTTTCTCTGTGGCTTTGGAGGCTGTCCTGGAACTAGCTCTTGTAAACCAGGCTGGCCTTGAAGTCACAGAGATCTGCCTGCCTCTGCCTCAAGAGTGCTGGGATTAAAGGCTTGAGCCACCATCGCCCGGCTAAATTTAGTGTTTTAAAGTCTTCATTATACACGTCATTTACATCCTTGGTTATATTAGATGTAACTGCTCTTTACAGGTTGATTTTGCACCCTCTAACTCTGATTAAAATGTTTAACAGTCTTGTGATAGAGTGCTCACTGAGTTACTTATTTCTGTGGGGCTGAGGATGGACCCCAGGGCCTTGGGCTCTTAGGCAGGCTGGAAAAACCTCTACCGCTGAAGTGCATTCTCAACATACAGAACACCCAATGCATTTATGTATATGATCATACCACCTGCAATTAAGGACAATCTAAGTTCATCTTTTCTCCTATTTGTATTCACCGTATTGCTGTGGCTGAGACTTAAAGCACGGAGTTGAATAATAGTGAAGAAAGTCAAAACAAAACCTTTCCTGCTACAAGTTGTTTCAAGTGCTTTGCCATAGGAACAGAGATCAAACTCAGGCTGTCCCCACCTCACTGTTCTCTGCCCTGGTCGCTCTTTCTTTTGCATATACTTTTTGGGTTTGACTTCCATTTTACCTTCCTTTACTCTTGATTTATTTTTTTTGCCTTTGGGGATTTTTCTTTCCTTTCTAACTCCTTTCTTGTGTATTTCTTTTTATTTCATTTTTAACCGGGACTTACTATATAGCTCAGACTGGCAGTGATCTTGCAGTGGTCTGGCCTCAACCTCCCAAATGTTGAGCCTACAAGCATGTACCATCATACCCAACTTCTGTTTTACTTTTTTTTTTTAATTTCACATGATGTATGTATTTATTTGGAACTCTACAATGTCTGCTACCAAGGAATTTAGCTAAAATTTACAACAATGGGATTAAAATACCACATTTGTTTTGCTGGGCATTTTTTTGGTTTTTTAAAAAATTATGCACATAGATGTTTTGCCTGCATACACATACACACACACACACACACACACACACACACACACACACATCACATGTATGCCTGGTACCCATGGAGATCAGAAAGAGACATCAGATCCCCTGGAACTGGAGTTATAGACAGTTGTGAACCACTATGTGGATGCTGAGAACCACACCTGGGTCCTACAAGAGCAGTCAGTGCTCTTAACTTCTGAGTCATCTCTCCAGATTATCACATATTTCATTTCTAAATCACTTAACATTTTTCATTTTGATTTTCCTGTTAAGTCCAAAATGAACTAGAAAAACAATAAGGCGATTACCACCAGCTCGCTACCACCAAGGACTAGATAATTCACAGAATGTATTTTTTTTACTCTAAAAAAACTAACTTGACAATTACAGGTTGTACACTGTACACAGCACCAGGGTTCTAATAACTACACCATTCCAAACACAACACTACATTCCTCAGATACCACCCTTTATCTACCTCTTAAAATTCTAGAAAAAAAAATGTCCCAAGATGGTGGAGATACCAAAATAGGAGGATTACCAACACCAGATATCCAAGGCTTATGGCACTGAAGATGTAAGTTAGGGGAAGGGGACTCTCAGCTGCCTTTGCTCAGCTCTATTTCACAAATCCAGCGGTAAACCCTCTGGCAGACATCATCATTCCAACGGCCGTCATCATAAGAGAAGTGGGCACAATCCTCACCTCCTCCCAGCCCATGGCCATGCCAGTTATCCGGCTGCAGTGGCTTCCAATTCCTGAAAACAAATGGCTCTGAGCTCCAAGGAGGTCAGGTCCTTAGCCATGTTAGCAGGAACCCCCCACCCCCAAATCCCCAGGGTCATGTGCTAAAGATAGGACAGTCCCAGGGAGAGGGAGCAAGCTGTAGGCAACACACATACTTGAATCCGTTGTCAAAGTCAGTCCCATCCACCCATCTCCAGGGTCCATTTTGGTCTGTTAGGCCCATCCAGGTGGGCACAGAGCCCTTGTGATCATCAATAAATTTCTGAGGAGAAAAAGAGGGGGAAATGACTTCTCCTTCTAACAGACAACCTCCAGGAGAGCCCATCAAAGCCACACCTGCTCCGCCATGGAGTTGACCACCACCAGGTGAGCATTCTCCAGCTGACAGTATTTGTCAGCATCAGGCCATGACTTCCCAGATTGAGAGAACCAGTAGCAGCTGTCTTCATGCTCCACCCAGTGAAGAGGGCAGCAGGCCATTGCAGAGCCTGTGAAAAGAGAGGGGAGGATGAAGAAGAGAGGTGCTGCCTAATGTGCCATCTCCCCGCCCCCGCCCCTAACTGGAGCCAACTATGCGCCTGGACATCCTCACCATTGTTCTTGAGGCTGGCCAGCTGGCATGACAGGGCCTTCAGGTCCTTCCCCAGCTCTTGGACACGCTCCGTTATTTCAGATAGACCTGGGACACACAGGTGGAAGTGAGAACAGTGCTCTGCTGTGATATTTGCTTGGTGTGTCTCTGGTACTCAGACGGCCTGCACAGGGCTCAGTCTAGGAACTATACACACTCATCTCCTCCCAGAGTACAGGAAAATGAGGTCTAACCTGTTTTGAATTGCTGTTCCTTTTTCTCCACTGTGCTCTCCAGAGAAGAAATGTTCTGGCTCAAGCCTCGTCCTGGAAGACAACAGTTCAGCACCAGGGACCCCTTTCACCCACACCCTCTGCACACTCAGAGACCAGGGCTTCTCACCTGCCAGCAGTTCTTGCCTGTGGTCATCTACCTCCACTTTCAGAGAGTTAATCTTCTCTTGCAAGCTGTCACCTGCAGAACAAGGGACTGGAGCTCAGGACTCTGTCCTCCCTACCCAGTCACTGCTGCCCAGAACCTGGTCATAGCCCAACTCACCCCTGGAGATCAGGGCCTGCAGTTCATCCTTTGTGTTGGAGGTGATGTTGTCTAAAGCGGCTCTCAGGGTGCCTAGGTCCCTCCTTAACTGGGAATCTGAAGAGGGCGATAGCATGATCAGAACCAAGATTGCTCAGTCCCTCTGTGCCAGCCCTGAGCTGGGCACTTTGCATGCAAAGTAGCATTTTGGGTCACAGAGTCCCAGTGGGGCAGGCACCATTGTCACCCAGTATTGCACATGAGTAAACTGAGGCTTAGGAGGTGAGGTAATGTGACTGTCTAAACCAAGCACAGTAATAAGTAACATGAGTCCTCCATGTCCCCACCAGTGTCTCCACCACTACTCCCATCTATTACCCACTCCAGTCACTGTGCTTTATGCTTCTCTGGCTGTTAACCTTGTCATTGCCATGGCCCTCGCTGCTGTCCGTAAGTGCCCTTTGCACCCATCACTGCCTCCATCTGCCCTGCCCACCACCCACCCCTGTGAGTCCTCCCTTCCCTGCTGCACTGAGAGCACCCACTTTGGGATCCAATCACGGAGACAACCACCAGCAGCAGGAGGCCGAGGCCCAGGGAGAACAGGAGGAGGCGGGTCCAAGAGAAGATATCCCACAGGAAGGACTTGGGGGGAGCTGCTGAAAGAAAGGAGGGTGTCAGGTTAAATGGTTGAGAGCAGATGTTCTCAACCTGTGGGTTGTGACCCCTTTGGGGGTCAAATGATCCTTCCTTGAGTGTCATATATCAGACATCCTGCATACCAGATATTTACATTATGATTCATAACAGTAGCAAAATTACAGTTATGAAGTAGTAACAAAAATAATTTTATGCTTGGGGGGTCACCACAATGTGAGGAACTGTATTAAAGGGTCACAGTATTAGGAAGGTTTAGAATCACTGCCCTGGAGTGTGACAGATACAGAAAGTGCGGGCCCTGGGTCGCATATCTTGGGGTGAATGTTTTGCCCTGGTAATTCTGTAAGAGAGAGAGGCTAAGAAGAATTGGGGTGGAGATGCTCCAGCCTATCACCTCTCATGCCCAACAGACGTCCTCATTCATAGAAGCCACTCCTACTGTCAGGATTCAGGTGCACAAGTGTGAGAATGCACAAACGCTAAGCACACACAGACAGGGGCTATAGTGCTCTGTGAGGTCTTAGGTCAGGGTTGGAAGAGTAATACAAGGACACAATGGTAGCTGGGGACAGCCAAGCTGGTGGGGGGGGACACAAAAGCCATTATCAGGCCCTTAGCCTTTGCATGACTGTGTGAGCAAAGGGTGAGCTTCTCCAAACCCAACTACCCATCATGCACAGCTTCAATCCCCGCCCACAAAGTATGGGAAGTCAGGACACTCCAGGTCACTCTTCCTGTTCCTGACTCCCTGAGGACCTTGTATGTTCAATGTAACAAGCTATCTGAGTGGGACCGAGAGCACTGGTGCGTGGTGAGAAACGACAGCAGAAACTCTCTCTGATAGGCATACTCAGAGCCTGCTCAGGAGACTCCGCCCCTCCTTTCCTCTCACCTTTTCCAGCCTCCTGGTTTTTCTCCTCACTCCCCAAGTTCTGGAAGTTTTCATACGTCATTGTCTTGTTTGGACAAATGCAGGCTTGCAGGGCTCACAGAACTGAAATGGAGAAGCCAGGGTCAGTTTGGGGTACAACTGGGTCAAAGAAGAAGCAGGGTAGAGTTGAGGGCAAGGCTGGGGCTACAGTGGGTATTGCAGTTGAGTATGAGCCTAGGTTACCACGAGGATGGAAGTAGACGTGAGTTTGCAGCTGAGGCTAGACATGACCTCAGAATCGCATCAGCTTTGAGGAGTGATGGAGCCTGGGGCTGAATTTGGAGGTAGAATTGCATCTGAGGACGGACAGCTCTGTGCTGCTTTGACTTGCCCAGCATTAGCCAGAGTGAGAAAATATTTGAAAGACGACAACACACTGTCTGTTTTTGTTTTTTGTTTTTGTTGATGTTGTTGTTTTATTTTTCTGAGACAAGGTTTCTCTGTGTAATCCTGTCTGTCCTGGAACTCACTCTGTCAACCAGGCTGGCCTCGAACTCAGAGATCCACCTGCCTCTGCCTCCCGAGTGCTGGGATTAAAGGTGTGTGCTACCACCACCCAGCAACATACTGTTTCTTGAAGGCCATAGGGTGCCTTGCCTGACCACAGTCGGAACACACAAATAGCCTCAAACACTACTTCTAAATGTCTTGTGTGGAAGGGCTTTCTTCTCGATTTACTTTGAGAAACAGGATATGCTGTGTCCCCCCCCCCTCTCTCTCTCATATCTATTTATTTACTTACTTAATATCCTGGTCCCAGTTTCCTCCCTCCTTTCCTCCTAGTCCCTCCTCCATCCCCCCTCTGTTCCCATCCCCAGTCCACTCCTCCTCCATTTCTGTTTAGGAAAGGGCAGATCTCACTGAAAGGACCAGACCCTCACCCAGCTCCCTGCTTTAGCAGCCATGACAGGCTGCAGAAAAGACCCAGCGAGATATATGCCTCTGACTCAGCAACATGTGCTAAGCTTCCAACCAGCTTCCAACCAGCTTCTGACCTTGCCTGACCTTGCCCCAGTCACTAGTAAACCAGATACCCTCCATGTGGCAAGGAACCAATCAGAAGTTAGCTGGTGGGCTCACAGTGGCTTGAAGAGCATAGCAATCACCCTGGGAGGGCCTCTGAGCATAGCAATCAACTCAGGACAGGTCTCCCAAATCCAGAAGTGTAACAATTCTGAGACTGTTGTGGACCCCAGACACTGCCCTTGCTCTACCTCCATAAATTCCCTGCCCCACAGTCCCTCTGGGTCCTTCTCCCTCCACCCACCATGTTGAAAGGATGGAGGGCCTGAGTTAATACAGTTAACTTGTTAATTAAAGACTTTTTGCCTTTCCATCTGATCAGGTCTTTTGGTGATTTTGGGCTTCAGAATTTGGGCACAAAATTCACAAGAGTATCAACAAAACATGGCATATTAAGTAAGACTAAGCATCTCCCCGTGTATTAAGGCTGGGCAAGGTGACCTGGTATGAGGAGTAGGGTCCCAAAAGCCTGTAAAAAGAGTCAAAGACACCTTGATCCCATTTTTAGGAGTCCCGCAGAGGACCAAGCTATACAACTGTCACACATATGCAGAGTGCCTAGGTCAGTCCCATGCAGGCTCCCTGGTTGTTGGTTCAGTCTCTGTGAGCCCTTGGGAGCCCAGGTTAGTTGATTCTGTGAGTTTTCTTGTGGTGTCCTTGAGCCCTCTGGCTTTCAGTCCTTCCTCCCCTTCTTCTTCAGGATTCCCCAAACTCTACCTAATGTTTGGCTGTGGATCTGCATCTGTTTCCATCTGATGACAATTGGGCTGGGCACCAATCTGGTGACAGGAGATGGCCAGTTCAGGCTGTGTACCTGCTATTGCTAGGAGTCTTAGCTGGGGTCATTCCTGTAGACTTCTGGGAGAGTCCCTTGTGCCAGGTTTTTACCTGACCCTGAAATGCCCCCCTTTCCAGTAATCTCTCTCTGTGCCCTGCCCATAATCCCCACCCCCACCTCATCACTCATGTTCCCATCCCCTCCCACTCTCAGCCCACTTAGGAACTCTTTTGTATTTTCCCTTTCCACAGAGATTGGGTCATTCCCCCTTTAACCCTCCTTGTTACCAGTCTCTCTGGGTCTGTGGATTGTAGAACAGTTATCCTTTATTTTACAATAAAAATCCACTTATGACTATGTATCATGTTTATCTTTCTCAGTCTGGGTCGCCTCACTCAGGATGATATTTTCTAGTTCCATCCATTTGCCTTCAGATTTCTTGTTGTCCTAAGTTTTTAACAGCCGAGTAATACTCCATTATGTAATTGTACCACATTTTCTTTATCCATTCCTCAGTTGTGTGACATCTAGGTTGTTCCCAGGTTCTGGTTATTACAAATAAAGCTGCGATGAACATAGCTGAGCACGTGTCCCTGTGGTATGATTGAGCATCCTTTGGGTATATGCCCAAGAGCAGTACAGCTGGGTCTTGAGGTAGATTGACTCCCAGTGTTCTGAGAAACCTCCACACTGACTTCCAAAGTGACAGTACGAGTTTGCACTCCCACCAGCAATGGAGGAGTGTTCCCCTTGCTCCACATCCTCTCCAGCATGAGAAGTTGCTTGTGTTTTTGGTCTTAGCCATTCTGACAGGTAGAAGGTGGAATCACAAAGTAGTTTTGGTTTGCATTTCTCTGATGGCAAAGGATGTTGAACATTTCTTTATATATTTCTTGGCCATTTGAGATTCTTCTGTTGAGAATTACATCCAGATCTGTGCCCCATTTTTAAGATTGGGTTATTTGGTTTGCTAATGTCTAGTTTCTTGAGTGCTTTATGTATTTTGGATATCAGACCTCTGTCAGATGTGGGGTTGGTGAAGATCCTTTCCCATTCTATAGGCTGCCATTTTGTCCTATTGACACTGTCCTTTGCCTTACAGAAACTTTTTCTCTTGAAAGGTCTCATACCACAGGTCTACTCTGAGGGGTTTAAGATACTAAAGTCCAAAGAAAACAAATTTATCTAGTCTATCATTTAAAATCATAGGGAATCAGGAAGTGGTTTGCTGTTGTTTACCATGCACTTGTAGTGTGTGTGTGTGTGTGTGTGTGTGTGTGTGTGTGTGTCATGGTATACACATGGAAGCCAGAGGATAATTAATAGAGTTGGTTCTCTCTTTCCACATTATGGGTTCCAGGAACTAAACTCAAGGCATCAGGCTTGGCAGCTCCTTTACCCGTAAGCCAGCTCACTAGCCCAACAACTTGTTTTTGTTTTTTCAATAATATCTATTAATATCTCAAGAATCAATTTGACTATTTGGAATACATTGTCTTTAGGACCTTTCTTAGCATTTTCATGGCCACTTATGAGCAATTCTAATTTGTGGGGTGTAGAAAGAACAAATAGCAAATTTTCATGATGGCTTGTGATTCAAAGATATAAAATATAAATAACTTAGAACTTAACACTCCAAATGAAAAATTTTAACAAAGTCATGCTGTTCTTTGAAGGTTTGTAAATAAAAATTCAATGTTAAGACCTCAAAAACAGGTGCTACTCCCAGGTCTAAAATGGAAATGAACTTGTCCTTGTATTTCTTGTGGAGTCCCTGGCATCAGCACCCAGTTGGGAGCATAGAGGGAATTGAGCTTAAGACTGCAATAAAACTGGAAGTGAAATGAGCTGAGTGCGGACAATTTGGGCAGGACTTGTATAAAGATTCCACTTGGATCTGGGGTTAAAGCAGTTAGAGTTGAGGCAGGAGCTGGGGTAGGACTGGGGTAGGGGTTTGTGAAGGCACCCATTCTGTAAAGTGTTTGCCCTGCAGATACAAGGCCCTAAATTCATTTTCCACAACCCATGTGAGAAAGCTGGGCAAAGGCCTGGAGAGATGGCTCCGTGGTTAAGAGCATGCAATGCTCTTGCAGTTGACTTGAGTTCCACTCCCAGCTCCCACACTGGGCAGCTCACAACTACCCTTGCTTCCAGCTCCAGGGAGATTGAACTCCTGGGGCCTCTGAGGGGACTTGAACCACATACAGTGACACACATGTACATATAATTCAAATAATAAATAAAGTTTAGAAAAGAAAGAAAGGAAGAAAGAAAAGTCTAGGCATGGTATCATGCTGTCCATGGCGTTCTGTTTGTAATCCCAGTACTGGGGAGGCAGAGACAGCTGGGTCGCTGAAGCTTGCTACCAGGTCAGCCTAGCCTAGTTAGCAAGTCCTGGATCAGTCAGAGACCCTGTCTCAGATCACACACACACACACACACACACACACACACACACACACACACACACCCCGATGTGAGGCTAGGGAGGTGGCTCAATGGATAATGTGTTTGTTGTACAAGCGTTTGAGGACCTGAGTTCGGATCCCCAGCACCCATGTAAAGGTTAGTTGCGGTGGCACACTCTGGTAACCCCAGTGCTTGTGGGAGTGGGGCAGACACAGATCATAAGAACTCACTGGCAGATGGACTTACCCAAATGACAGGCTTCAGGGTTCGTGAGAAAACATATCTTAAAAAATAAAGTTGAGAGTGATAGAGGGAAATACTTGACATCAACCTCTGGACTCCACACATGCATGCACCTGCACACATAGTATACACACATGCATAAAATACACACTCATG